CGATATATTATGAAAGTGAAAATTATTTACATGTTCGTAAATTTGAAATAATTTATAAAAATGTAAGTAAGTGCCTTTCATAAAATAAAATCGTATCAATAATATTATTCTAACATTCGTTTGTACCAGTAAAAAAAAAAAATGTGTTATATTTAAATTTATACTATCAAAAATAAGCAAAAAAATAAAAATTATCATGACTGATTTGTGTCATAGATTTTTGCTATATAACGATACTGAAAAACTAAAAGTTTGAAGTTGTATAGATTATTGGTATACCTACTGATTTTAAGCAATATGGTTAAGATATTCTTACCAAGCACATTCTCTAAAAATGTTTGTCTAAAATACAAATCAATTGWACCTAAATTATTTTGCATACATATAACAATAATGATTTCAGTCATAAATATAGTATAGAAAATATACAATTCATTTAATAGAAAGAAAAAAGTTATGCGTTTTGCATTGATCGATTAATTATTGTGTTTTATTTTGAATAACTTCTAATAGGTGTATACGTGAACACAGGAAAAGCAATAGTTAAACACATTATTATTAATTATCATGCAAAATTAYGTCTACTAGCCCTGRAAAATGGTGACGAAAATTAATTAAGAAACTTCTACTAAAACTCTCTTTTCAGTTCGCTCTCTGTTTTGAAAATTTCAAGGAACCCTTGCAGCGTAAGGTAAACTATAATTTTATTATGATACGAGTTTATTAATGGTATTGGAAACGAACAAAATATTACGTCATACTAATTTTCTCTCTTTGTTTATATMGCTAGTGGTTCGTGATTTAGCACAGTTATGTAAAGTCAAATATTAGAGAGTTTGTGATCCTCGTTTATAGTCGTGTGCTAGGCAGAGGATGTTTTCTTTTGCACTAAGTCATATTATAATATGATTGTTGAAAACGTGATATACCAAAACACTTAAAATGACGCGTGTGYGGAGTATATACCAACCTATTTAAAACAATTTTAAATTTAAAACAAATAAGGTTATAGGACCTWACCAATATTTATTCCTTATTTGTAGGCTATAGTTACTCAGAGTAGAGCAGAGTAGAGTCATGAAATTCTTCTTGATACAATATGTTTAAGGTACCTACTTTTATATACACTTTAATACAATTATACTTAATATGAAGTTTGAAAATAAAAAGCGGCTAGGTGAATTCAGAGTTTACCGAGRCCGAACTAAATAAATACCTGATAGTTGATGTGAAAATATTATTGCTATCAAACGTAGGTACAACAATTGTTTAATTCTGCTGAAAGCGATTTAAACGTGAAGCTTGTCTATATTAGCTATACTGCAAGCTTATTTAGTTAAARCATGCAACACACAAATCTCCATGTTAGGATATATACCTATCATAGTATAGGTATACTGCAATATMATCAAGCTTTTGGAACTGGCAGATATAATAATATCATATAATATGGTAACTAATGAATAAGTACATTGTTTAAACTAACTTTAAACTGATAATCCAGCTATGTGGACGACGACGGGTAGAGCAAAATGCAGCGTGCTTTCCTTCGAATACAAAGTATAAGATACAAAAAACAACTGATTAAATTGCTTCACACCCAAAAATTATAATTATGTATAAAAACAACGTAATATGCTTTTTGTAGCCTATTAGGTATTCAACACTAAATTGTATACTTTAGGTATGTAGCTTGTACAGTAATAGAAATTAGGATAAATATATATATATTATAATACATTATTCCACGTGGTGTGCATATATTATTATATTATATACCTTCAATTTATCAATTATTAAAAAGACCCTTCTATTACTTCCATTACATTCCAACTTTCCATAAGTAATATGCACTCATTATACATTATACAAGATTATTTAGTTGTATTTTTTTGATTGTTGTCTGTAGCAGAAGTATTATCGGTATACCTACTTGTTGTTTTATCAWTATTAGATATTATTTCAATATTTCACTCGTTTCTAAATAATTATGTACTAATGATTGGCTCAATTATTGACAAAAATCATGTCATACATTTGTAAACCAATTTATTGGATGATATTCATAGAAATGGGTTAGTATAATATTTTCAACATTGTCTTCGAGTCACGCTTCGAATYTTTCTGGAGCTTAGGTGAAAAAAGTGTATATTCGTTATCTATATTGTACATTTGTACAATATATTATGTAGGCAAACTACTACTCATCCAAACCTATACAATATAATATAGATTATATCCGCATGATATAAGTGTACTTGAAACCACAGATTAACCGTGCAAATATTTATTGTTTGATCTATATGTTCGACTACACTAAATGCATCACAGTCTACAGATATATNATTATTAATTTTTAATACGTATCACCATTAAAAATAATAATGATTTATTTATAAGTTTTTGAAGTTCAAAACACGCGTCCTACTACACAATGAATTCTTTAATTTATAACAATGTAACCTTTATTTTTTAGATTTTTAAATAACCATGTATTTTAACAAACTCAAAATTGAATTTTTTCACGAAAATGGAACTCATTTATGTTTCGTATACATATGTTTTGAGTGGCTATTTTAGGATTAAACTAGCTTACTGGGATACCGGGAAACCTCCCGGTAGGCTGCGATAAAAATGAGTAAGACAAATAGTGAAAACCCAAAGTAAGTGACTAATCCAGTAAAAAAAAAAAAAAAACAGTGTAATAATATGATTTAGTTGTTTTATTAAGTTGTAAAATAGTGCCCGAGGGTCTGGTAGTACGCTGCTAGGAAACACTGTACGAAATCTAGCATTCTAGCTGCATGTAATAAGTTGTTTATATAAGCTTCAGTAAGGCGTAGGGGTAGGTAAAAAAATATTTCCCTGGTCGATTTTACAAGCTACTCCAATCCTGCTTTATAATATATTATTATAGGTATCATACATAGCAATTATAAAAGGTAATTTATATAAAAAATAATTATTGGTTATTAAAGTATATATAAAAATCAACACACATAATAGTTAAATTATTATGATCAGTATATAAATGGACATTTATATGTAACTGAAATAGTTATTTTATTGGGTACTACATATACGATATACTCAAAGTTGTTTGAGTATTATATTATTATCACTTAAAAATAGTAATAAAATATTTATACATTTTTTTTCAAAACATTAAAAATAATAAAGATAATGTATAGACTGACCTGCCGAAACGGTTGGCGATGATGCCGCCGCTGAAGCCACCTAACATGCCACCGATGGCGAAAATGGACACCGCAAACGAGTAAAGTAACTCAGCTTGCCCGTGGTCCATATTTTCTTTATATCGATCTTCAAACACATCTTTGATGAACTTCTCTATGTTCTAAAAGTTTTAACAAGTCAATTATGAGTATCCATTGTTGAATAAATAATTATCAATATTTATTACCCCTTCGGGTGCATTTATCACTCCAGTATTGTAACCGAATTGAAGCATGCCCAGCATTGACGCCAAGATTGTATAGGATAAAAAGAACGTAAGTCCCTAAAAATTAAACAAAACAATAAGTAAACAAAATTATTTTACTAAGAAATTAAAATGATGAAATATTAATGATTAAACTGGAATTATTTTTTTTATAAACTACAGTATATTTTGAATAAATTTGGCATGCCATAAAATAAAAAATGCATAAAACATAATTGACTAAATTTAAGAAAAAAAATGTGTAGGCACTAAGTTTTATGTTGTGCAAAATATATTTCTAAACCAGAATCATAAAGCTATTTTAATTTTAAAAAGTATCACTAATAATTTTATTTTTATAAAAATAAAATAATATATGAAATGCAATAACTAGATACACGTAATTAAATATATAAACATCATTAACACAATTTTTTTCAACTAAATACATTTAAAAAATATAATGCATTGGTAAAAACAAAATACAAAATTTATAATTCGTAAAAACTATATTTTGTTGAGATAAATGTTTGTGTAATTTTAATTGATTGATAAATATATTCAGTTAATTAAAATTGCATGTAGGTAGGTAGGTATAGGTATTATTTGTATCGTAATAACTCCAATTTAAATACTTCAAATTTKCATGATAACTATACTATATATATTTTTAATCTAATTTTAATGTTATGTAATAATATTTATTATAGTAAGAAATAATTTCTAAGTACTATAAAACAGGTAATTATTATGAACGATATACATAGTAATATAGTATGATACTATTATAGTATAGGTAATTTTTACCTACCTGCGTAATATACAYTACTACTGGAGTAAAATTATCAATTTATAGCATAAAATATTAAGGTATGCGCAATACAAGTATAAATTAAAAGATTTATTGGTATTGATTATTATTTTAATTTATGATTGAATGAAGTTKCAGAAGTCACAAAAGGAGACTATTGTTGTTACCCATATTAAAACGTATACATACGTACCGATTATCCTATTATCGATATATTATGAAAGTGAAAATTATTTACATGTTCGTAAATTTGAAATAATTTATAAAAATGTAAGTAAGTGCCTTTCATAAAATAAAATCGTATCAATAATATTATTCTAACATTCGTTTGTACCAGTAAAAAAAAAAAATGTGTTATATTTAAATTTATACTATCAAAAATAAGCAAAAAAATAAAAATTATCATGACTGATTTGTGTCATAGATTTTTGCTATATAACGATACTGAAAAACTAAAAGTTTGAAGTTGTATAGATTATTGGTATACCTACTGATTTTAAGCAATATGGTTAAGATATTCTTACCAAGCACATTCTCTAAAAATGTTTGTCTAAAATACAAATCAATTGWACCTAAATTATTTTGCATACATATAACAATAATGATTTCAGTCATAAATATAGTATAGAAAATATACAATTCATTTAATAGAAAGAAAAAAGTTATGCGTTTTGCATTGATCGATTAATTATTGTGTTTTATTTTGAATAACTTCTAATAGGTGTATACGTGAACACAGGAAAAGCAATAGTTAAACACATTATTATTAATTATCATGCAAAATTAYGTCTACTAGCCCTGRAAAATGGTGACGAAAATTAATTAAGAAACTTCTACTAAAACTCTCTTTTCAGTTCGCTCTCTGTTTTGAAAATTTCAAGGAACCCTTGCAGCGTAAGGTAAACTATAATTTTATTATGATACGAGTTTATTAATGGTATTGGAAACGAACAAAATATTACGTCATACTAATTTTCTCTCTTTGTTTATATMGCTAGTGGTTCGTGATTTAGCACAGTTATGTAAAGTCAAATATTAGAGAGTTTGTGATCCTCGTTTATAGTCGTGTGCTAGGCAGAGGATGTTTTCTTTTGCACTAAGTCATATTATAATATGATTGTTGAAAACGTGATATACCAAAACACTTAAAATGACGCGTGTG